TCTCGACGCACAGGCAGGGCCATATCCTGCGGAGCTTTATGTCTGGAGCCTTTGCGCTTGAGCACGAGACTTCAGGGCTTTTTCTCTGATGTCGGTTTGCTGTCAAAGCAGGAGGCTCCTGAACACACTTTGACGCCCAATCCTGCCCAATCCCCCAAAACCGATACGCCCCAGATCATCCCTTCAGTCCTAAACCCTGAGCCCTTAATTAACCCTACATCCGAGACCCGCAGCCCCAGACCCTACGTCCTCAAGAAGGACATAAACAGCAAAATTGCGTGTCTTTGTTCGCCTTGAACCCCCTAAACCATCAGTGCTAGGCGCAGCCACAGCCCCCCCAAAAAAAGAACTCGGTCAAAACGTGTCGGTGAGCTTCGGCACCCAAACCTTAAACACTTTCTATCAGCCCCAACCCTGCAAGCCCCGAAACCCGACCCTCCGAAGTCGCATATGCCGAGTGTGCTGGAAGGAGTCTGTCACCACGGCCTGCCGCCCGTCCGCAGAAGCCAGCATTGTCGTCCCAGACAGCGAGGATTGTCGTATCTTTACACTGGGCATGATGAGCCCGACGGTCGAATTCTGTAGTTTCGATGGGTTCATGAGAGCTACAACTGCTGTTGAGTTAAGTGTTGAGAATCGCATGACTGGCAGCATGTCAGGATTTGTGGCGCACATCGCATCGGGCAGGGTATTGCATATAGCCACACATCTCTCTGATCAGCATATTGACCTTCCTTGCCGCCTGTCTCCTGATGCTTTTGGATGAGTTCGTCTCTTTCAGGTCCCGATGCCGCCTTGCTCCGAACAGCTTTTCAGAAGCTCGGCATTGACCTGCCGCTGGGCCAGGTTGTTCAAGCAGTTGCTTTTGCTAACGTAGCGACTTGAAATCGGAATAAGACCTGCTTCCTTTTGGCCTGATCGGAGCGCTTCTGTCAGCATCGATATCTCAAGGGAAAGCACCAGACTCGGGTTTCAAGGGCAGGGCTGTTTGCTGTGGGGTCTGCACTACTGTAGTGCGGAATCTCACTTCGCCTTCGTGGTCGGCTAAGGCATGGCCTTCCGGGAAGCCACTGTGAATGGGGCGGCGTGTGGTGCTACTCTGACCGGTGCACGGTGAAGGGTCTCAATCTCGGCGGTCGGAACTTGACAGGACACGCACTCCCGCTGCCTGACCACCTAAGACCTAAGACCTAAGCAAGCCTTCTGGCCGTTTGCTTTGGGTGCTCGCAGGAGAGCTGCCGCCCGAAATCGGGGACTTGGCAGAACTGCGGGACTTGTGGCTGTACAACAACCGGAACCTGAGAGGCGAACTGTCCACCCTTGCCAAGCTGGTGCACCTCGAGGCACTCGTGTTGCGCTCCACCCAGATCCGAGGGGATCTAAGCTTCGTGAGCCGCATGGAGAAGATGCGGATACTCAATCTCGGAGAGACACAGGTGGCAGGCAATCTGCAGCCGCTGGCAAACCTGACCGAGATGACCGGGCTGGGGCTCCGCAACACTCGGGTGGGTGGGGATCTATTGCCCCTGGCTGAGATGCACAAGATGCGATATCTCTATCTCGGAGGCACCCAGATCCAAGGCCAGCTGCAGCCGCTGGCAAACCTGACCGAGATGATCGAACTAGGGCTCGGAAACACCTGGGTCGGCGGGGAGCTTCGGTCGCTGCAGGCCGGAGGTAGCTTTGTGTGCTCGCCAGCCTGAGACCCGCTCTAGTCCCGGCCTTCACGCGCTTGGAAGGCGATGCGGAATCTACGAGGGTTGCGGCTCCAGGGCACAGGCGTCTCAGGACCCCTGGAGTTCCTGACGGAGTTCCCTAAGCTGGAAGAGGCCAACTTGGCCTCGACGGCCGTAACCGGACGCGGGGAACCCAGACTCACGGCCTAGGTCTAGGCGCCCTGAAATCTATCGCATTTTTTGTCATCTTCGTCCTGGGATGCGTCCTTGGAGCAGTTGCTTGTTCAGATTTGTCCTACGCTGTCTTGTCCAAAGAGCGGAAAGCGATTTTCTGGAAGTGTACTTCGAAGAGAGCCAGGTGAATCTTCGTGCCTGTGACAAATCAGCATCTCCCCAATATGGCAGGAAAGGGCCCCACCGCGCATGATAGCCCTTCGCCAATATTCATTCTTTGTCGTTCTTTTTGGGTACCGTTTTTGCAAAGTTCACCCAGATTGCCATCGGCGGCAAACGGCAGTAAATTGCGTGGTTTCGAAATAAGGATGTCGATGGGCATGCCTCATTGGCCGAGGTGCCAACATGTGTATGATATTGCATGACAGCAAAGAGAAAAGCAGGTTGTTCATCGGATTTCCGCAGGCTTTGTCCGCACTCAAGCCTGCCACTCTGTCATGCACCATGTGCCATGCATCTCTCTCAAATATTTTCCCGCTCGCTTGTCGGAAGTTGTGCTGTGCCGCAACAACACTCGACATCTAATCGAGCTGCATTTCCGTGCGGTTGACGCCCGAAGAGCACAGAAATTGACATATAACTTAGCTGAGGCACTGATGGGGCACGAGGGGACAACACCTGACCTGACCTAGGACCCAAATTCGAAACACCAAGCCGCTCAAATACATCTGTGGACAGGAAGTGTTTACTGTTGACATCTTGGAGTGATTTCCCAGTGACAGAGCTTCTTGCAAGGTTTCGGTAGGATATTGTTTGTACATCCTGAGCAGACTCCATATGCTGCATCTCAATTTTGACTAGTCTGCCTGCTTGGGCGCGCTTCCGGACACCCATCCCACAGCAGTTGGTCGCAGATCTCCAAAACTTCATATTGAAAGCAGCACTTCAAGTGAACTCTACGAACAGTGAAGAGGGCTGGGCTGCACGATAGCTTCAGTGTGACTGCAACCGGAGGTCTGACGCGGCACTGGCGAGGGCACCTGAAGAGCTTGCGACAACTGAACCTTGCAGCTCCGCCCTTGGTTCCCAGGTCAGGTGTCATGTTGGGATGTGTTGGCTCTTGTGCAGGCGGTCTCATGCTTCTGCTCAGGCAAGCACTGCAGACTTCCTGCCCCGCGGCGACGACCTGGCGGAGCTCCGCCACCTTGTCACCGCTCAACGCAGTGACCGTGGCGGGGCGGTGCTGCCCGCCTTGGTCGAGCTGGATGCTGCTTGACTACAGCAGTTCAGATCGTGCAATGTCCTGCTTCGTTGTTGGCTCAGCCCGTTCATGCCCAACTATTGTCCCTTCCCCAGAAGTATCGATTGTCACTGCAGTTCAGTGCGGTTGAAGGTGTCTGGCTGCCCGGTGAATCGCGACGTGATGGACCTCGTTGTGCCGCTGGCAGCCTGCAAGTCGCTGGCCAAAGTTGCCGCTTCGAACGCACACCTGTCAGGTGACCTGCTGGACCTGACAGACTTGGCTGTGGAAATCGATGGCAAAAGCCACAGTAGTGTTACTGCACCCTTGGCAGGCGCTCTGCAGGTCTTGGACCTGTCAGGCAACTTGATCCATCAGGTCACCGCCGTCAACGCCCATAGTGTGCTATCGTTGGCTGACAATGGTCAGGCTGTAGAGATGCCACATGGCACGCTTCGCAAAGCACTGGAAGATGGCGTGCGACTAGACCTGACAAACGTTGCTCTTGTGGATGACAGCGAAGCCAAGGAGCTGATTGCCAAAGGATCACTGAACATCACCGAGCGCCCCACAATGACAGACAATGCAAGAGGATTTGCATGCCACGGGATGCCGAGTGCAACCCTGCAAGTCACACCTTCCCGCTTCTTACCAG